AATTTTTGAGAATGGCATAATCGAATTTGGCAAAAGTTCGTTGCCATGGGTCGTCAATGTGCCACCAATATTCTTTTTTGACACAAATAGTTAGGCCAATTAAAAATTTAAATCACAAAAGCGGGCTCACTATTTTGGGATTTTATCCTGTACACAAAAATTGTATTTTCATTTGGATCTAGATATACATTTACTTCATTCCAACTTTTTTATAGTAAATATTTATTACACTACACACTTACAAATACATCTTTTTATTAGTTAATGCTACTAATTGTATTTAATTTCGGGTTATTAAATTCGCGGAAATTAGGTACTCACTAACGAATAATGTATAGAATGTTAATATCACTTAAAAAAATTAAGTGCACAATTAAATAAAGCATTTTAATAAATGTTTAGATATTCATTTACCTAACAGAAACAAACGCACAATAACCTATCACCTGAAAGCGCCAGAATCCCCGGCAGGAATTTTTCCTGTTTTTTCATTGGATATTTTTTCACTAAAAAGAGTTGTTGTTGTTAATTATAACTATAAATCTTATCGAAGGCACAAAATGATGCTAAAAATCATGATAAAAATATTACAAGGTAAATTCAATCTCTCAATTCGTCGGCCATGATTTTATTTCTGACGTTAGCAAACATTTTAAAATCATATAAAATTGAAAATAAAAAAATTTAATTGTTCATAATTGTTGTTGTTTGAGATTGAAAATGAGAAGGTGTGTGTGAGTTTGAGTTTTGAATTTTTAAATTATAATGTTGGCAAACGTCAGACTGCCTCTCAATGGTTTTACCTTGTTAAAGCTCTACCCAGAATTACAGCGGAAGACGGTAAAGCGGTCGGCGGTAAGTGAACAGCTGCACAGTTGCCACAGTAAAATCCGTCAGAGTAAACACAATTGCTGCTCACGGCGGCTTCCGTCAGTTGTCATTTTGATTTGAAAATTATTATTAAAATTAAATATTTGCTGGAAATAGAAATGGATGAAAACATTGGAAAACATGTGAAAATAATAAAAATTACTTCAATCAACACTCAATCAACATTGTGCCGTCCCCGCTGGGCGGTAAAAATAGAAATAAATTTAAATCAACCGAAAAACGTCGGCGGTAAAAACGCTTCCGCCGCAATCATGAGCCATTCCATATGCCTTTGTGAGTTTTAATTTTGCCAGCGGTAACCGTCGTCCGCTGCAATTCTGGGTAGGGCTTAAGTTTTTATCATGCTAAAAACAGCATTTCAAAAACCCCTCAAAATTTCTATTAACTCATTTCAATTTCAGTTTAATATTCATTGTTGAACGAAATATGAACAAGTGGCAACGCTATGCATAAACACTTCATTACTTAGTAAGCGACTAACGTGTGTGTATGTTTGTGTGTGTGTGCTTACTGTTGCCCACGGGCCTTATTTCGGCACGTAATTAATATTCATCACAAGTGAAAGTTGGGGATTTATAAAATTTTTGTGCAATTTAAGGTTTTCACTAGTTACATGATTACCAACGTACATACAAATGTACGAAAAGTGGCTTCACCTGCTGCCAAAAATTGTGTAATTGCTTGCAACAACAACCAACAAACAACCAAGGTGCGATTGGTTGTGCTTTAGCTAATTTAACTACCGTTTCGAAAAATTTTCCACTCAAACATCCAACCAATCATTTATCAACTCGTCTGTACTGCCAGCAATGCTCGCCAGCTGCAGGATTCTTGTACATACACACATATGTAAGTACTAACGAGTATTTAGAAATGTGTGCGAGTAGCGGGAGTGAACAGGTAGACTAAATGTTAGCAGCGTGCGTCATCTGTACTGTTAATTGCTTTTTCATTTTTGCGTTTCCCCATGCAGTTCAGATTGCAATTGTTTAGCTGCTTTTAAAATTAGCTGTCTAGATTTTTGAGTGCGCAACAAAAGTAAGAAGTTAAAAGTACTAAGTTGTGGAAATGTATTGGGATGTTGTTACTTTTTGTTGTTGTTGTTGCCTTTACTTATTACACTTTCTCGCGCACATTCTAATTGAATTTCGCCTGTAGCAGTCATCGAGTGGGGCAGTTAATAGCTTAACCGCGCGAGGTGTCGTCTCATTGCAACTTAAAGAAGAACGTAAGAAAGAATGAAATTTAAATGGGAGCAATGTATTTTATCCTTCATCTTTTTCATCTTTCGCTAATTTTTGAATCGATTTGTTTGCGTGCATATTCGTCAATTTCCTTCCGTTGCAGATACTTTGTAAGTGTTTACTGCAACTTCACTTCTTTATTTTCTGCTTCCTTGTAGCATAGCGAAATTCGAATATCTTGATGGAGAGAAAGTGAGCGAGCGCACGGTGTTTACCCACAACGTTTTTTGGCTGTTTTCTTTTTTAACTTATGCAGTTCTCTACTTCCGCTTTTTATTTACCTTCCGTTTAAATGACTTTTTTTGAGTTTCAGACTTCATCAGTTTTCTTAATAGGTTTCCGTTCAAAC